TAGTATAATTTGACCAATAATGATTAGTCAAAGTAGCAAATTACGGATAGTTACCAAATTTACTAAACATGTTTGTTAAAATTTTATTTCTTACGTAAACTCTAGGTTTCGCTTCACTTCTACTTCGAATAACCTGCAGTGAAGAAGCCGCTGCCGAGATCCGTATGGCTGCTGCTATTGCTTTGAAGAATTTTATACGAAAGAATTGGGTGCGTTGCACTGAGTTAACACATACAAGGAAGTTTTTGATTAGGAGTTTTGTCTTGGATTTTTTCTGCTTTTACTATGCAAAGCAACATCTAATTTTCTTTGTAAAGAGTGAAGCCCCAGAGGTTGATCTCAGCAATGAAGAGGAAGAGGAGATTCGACAATCAGTGCTTCAAGGGATGTTTCTTATTAGAGGGAATTTGCAAAATCAACTTTCTCATGCGGTGCATTTAATGGCTAAGGTGATTCAATACTTCCATTTCCCATTCCTGTGCTTTTCCTTTCATACTGTTATGAACAACATGTTTAGCGAGATTTCCCGGAGCGGTGGCCATCGCTGGTACCAGCTCTGGCCGAACAGTTGAAGGTAGACGACCTTGGACGGTTAGTAGCATCTTTACTTGCGATGGACCAACTGTTCAAAAAATTTCGTTACGAGAGCAAGTCAACTGCTTTGTGGACTGAGCTGAAATCGTGCTTGTTAACGGTTGGTGTATAAAATCGCAGTCCACTCTATTTGACTCATAATCAAATTATGGCGTTTTAGGTACAAGAACCTCTCACTCGCGTATACGCTAAGATGCTTGAGTTTATTCCACAAAGAAATACGATGTCCGCCGAATCCTTAGTTCAATGGCTAGAGATCTTATGCCTTGTCAGCAAAGTATTCCATTCCCTATGCTTCCAAGATTTACCCGAATACTTTGAGGTGAATGCTTATATTGTCATAAGAGGAGTAAATGAATTTCTCGTTTTGATTTTAAATTATACTTCAAAGAGGAAGAATAAATAGAGAAACTAAGAATAAATTACTTTGCTATATCTTCTATGCTTCAAAGTTTGAGTCGGCAGAGTTTCAACTGAGAGTTGGATCTCACTTCCCACTTCTAGGAAATATAATCATTCTTGCAGTGACTTGATCACTATCTGTTTTTT